AGCTAATGGACATCTCCGAGTGGAAGGTTTCTCAAATAATGATTGGGCTGGCTCTCCTTCTGATCGGAGGTCAACCATTAGTTATTGTACTTTTTTAAGAGGTAACGTTGTCTCATGAAAAAGTAAGAAACAATCTGTGGTAGTAAGATCCAATGCTGAGGCTGATTATAGGGCAATAGCGCAGTGTTATTTAAGGCGTAAAGCGAACCGAAGCGACCAAGGCTCCTAACGCCTAGGCGAGAAGCGAGAAGCAAAGCGACACGCTTTACCGAAGCAAAGCGACACGCTTTACCGAAGCAAAGCGAACAATTAAAAAAAATATATATTTTACTTTAATTACTTCTAAACAATCTAAGTTCTAATTTTATATATACTAAATATTTAAATGCAAGTAAAACCATAAACATTTAAATTAAAACAAACACTAATAATATCTCAAATCTTAATAACAATCATAACTTAAACATTTAAATTCAAACAAATACTAACAATTGTATACATTTTTATATTGACAGGGTAGGACAACAAAAGAAGCAGAATCAGAACAGCAGCAGAATCAGCAACAAAAAAAAAAAGAAGCAGAATGAGGATAAAAAAAAAAGAAGCAACACAGGACAGCAAAACCGAAGCAGTAACAGAATCAACAAAAAAAAATAGAAGCAGAATGAGCTAAAAAAAAGCAGAAGCACAATGATCATGACAGGAGCAGAATCAATTGTAAACAATTTCATATGTAATTATGTACTGAATAAAAAAAAGTAAAACAGAGGCACATTTCACATGTACTAAAATAATTAAACATGGTATAAGTATAGACCACTTTTTGGTACCATTTGTATATATATAAGAAAAGAGAAAAGTATAACCAAGACATATCAGAGACACTTCTTTGTAGAAGACTCTATTATTTATCCCCATTCCTGATACTCCTGCTTCCTTCTTTTATCATAATTGTCATGCAGTCGCCTGACTCCCACATCCCACAAATATTCTAAATGAATTCAGCAACACAAGGAAAAAAAAGGAATGTGTTTTGTTCGAAACATTGTTTATTAGAAAAAAAAAAAAAATAGACCAGCAATAGTCTAAAAAAAAAGTCATTAGTGATTAAAAAATAAAAGAGACTACTAACCTGTAATCAGAGAAAAAAAAAAGTTGAAGCAGAATCGCCTCTTATAATAAAGCGTTCGCTTTTTCGCTTCTTCGCTTTTTCTTGCTTTACTCATTTCTCGCTTCGCTCACGTTCGCTTCGCCTGGGGTCCTCCAAGAGAGATAAGCTCGCCTCGCTTCTCGCCTAGGCGAGCTTTTCAAAACACTGCAATAGCGCATACGACAAGTGAGTTGACTTGGCTACTACACTTCCTCCAGGAAATTGGGTTTCCAGTTCAACTTCCTTTACAGTTGTTCTATGACAACTAGGCAGTTATCTATATCGTTGTCAATCTGGTGTTTTACAAGAGAACTAAACATATTGAGGTTGATTGTCACTTTATTTGAGACAAGATAGTAGTTGGGGAGATTACAACTTTATTTGTGAAATTTGAAGATCAGCTTGTAGACATGTTTACCAAAATATTGAGTCGTACACGTATTACAACGATTTGTTCCAAACTTGGATTATATGATATATATAGTCCAGCTTAAGGGGGAGTGTTAAGAATATTAGGGTAATATGTGTAAATTGTTAATAGTAAGAGGGTGTATATGTAATTCTTATTATTGTGAGTTAACTATAAATACAAGTGATGTATGAGAATTAGGTTAAGTTTTTAACCTCTCTCTTTCTCTCTAATATTGTCTCTAGTGTTGTGTCATGTTAATTCACTCAACTTAACACTTACTATCCTCAACGCTCTTGCAAGTGTTCAAATAGGTTTAGTTTCTTCAATTGTTGCTATTATTTTTGTTATTTTTGTTCCTTTTTCACTTCTATTTTTTTTCTTTCTAGAGCCACCTCCTATAAGGAGGTTATACTTGATCCTCTTTGGCAACAAAATATGGATGATGAGCTATTTTCCCTATAAGTGTTCAGTTTCTTTACCCTGGGCAAACACACCATTGGTTATAAGTGAATTTATAAGATCAAAACCAAATCTGATGGTTTTATAGAAAGGTACAAGGCTTGGTTAGTAGTCAAGGGATTTGGTTAGGAGTATTAGGGGTGTAACTCGGGTGGGTTGGACAATCAACCCTAGCCTAACCCTAGATATATAATTTTCAACCTAACCCTAACTCTACCTCGAATTGGGGAACTTAATCCGAGCACTGCCCGAGTTTAATTCGGGTGGGCTTGGGTTGATGATTTCGGGCTGATTTTATGTTGCTTTACGGGTCCAATTCGGGTAGAGCCCAAAATAGGTTTGTTGTTCTAAACCTAAAACATATATTACATAATATTCACCTAAATTAACAACTAATAACTTAAACCAAATTTTTAACGAGAGAGGCTGAGAGAATGAGAGAACGATAGAACAAAATTAAAAAACCAGTACTAATGCTTTATATATATATATATAATATAGATATATATATAAATTTTTTTTTTTAATTTGTCGGGTTCGGGTTGAACTCGGGATCACGAGGCCTTAACCCGAGCTTAATCCAAATTGAATTCGGGTTGAAATTTTTTAATCTAAGCCCAACCCAAGTTTTAAAAACCCTTGCCCAATCCCTAATTTTTTCGGGTTGAAATCGAGTTGCCCAACCCAAGTTGCACCCTTAAGGAGTATAGACTAGACTATGACGAGACTTTTGCTCTTGTTCTCAAGGTGACCACTGTAAGCACTGTGATTACAATAGTTGTTATTCGATAATGAAATTTGTCTTAGATGTATGTAAAAAAATATTTTTTTTTTGATGAAAATTTATCTGAAGGAGTCTTTATGACTCGTCTTCATGGATTGACTCATAATCTAGGTCAAGTATGTATACTTCACAAGCCTTTATATGACCTTAAGCTCTTAGAGCATAGTTTGATAAGTTTTCTTTAGTCATATGTGACTTAGGTTTTCGTGTCAGTGACCATGATTTTACTCTGTTTTTTTGATACATTTCCTCGGGTTTTATTGTTCTTTTATTTTATGTTGATGATATAATTTTTACTGGTGATGACAATGCTAGAATATAATTATTGAAAAATTAGTTGTAAGAGTATTTTGAGATGAAAGATTTGGACCACCTCCGGTATTTCTTAAATGTTATTCAGGGAGCTCGTTCTTATTCCTCATCTAATAGTACTCTCTTGTCTGATCCTACCCTCTATCGCATTATTATTGAAAATCTAGTATGTCTTAAAGATTCTCACCGTATTTCTTAGAGGGCGGGTTTTGGCGCAATAGTAAGGTTGCTCCATTGTGACCTGGAGGTCACGTGTTTGAGTAATGGAAACAACATCTTTGCTTTGAGAGGTAAGATTGTGTATATCTAACCCTATCTAGACCTCGCAATAGCAAGAGCCTCGTGTACAGCGTTAAGCGTGAGCGAGTTTATTGCCTCGCCTACCATTGTTCACTGGGTTGTTGTTCACCTCATCCTTAGGAATCTTTGAGGTCTATTTTTTTCACCCTCCCCTTCGGGCTTACTCATCGCTAATTGAGCCTGTGTTTTTATAGATTGCACGTCTATTACTAGTTTCTATATATATATTTTTTTGGTGACTCTCTTCTTTCTTGAAAAATCAAGAAGCAAATTTTTGTTACTCGTTCCTCAACTGAAGCTAAGTACTGTTCTATGACCTTTATCACCGCTAAGATATCTGGTTACAATGGTTGGCTGCTGGTCTTGACATCTATTTTTACCCCTATGTATTGTGACAACACGAGTGACATTTAGATTGCTCACAACTCGGTCTTCTATGAGCGTACAAAGTATATTAAGATTTGTTGTCAATTTTTCGCCATCACCTTCAGCAGTGCACCATTTTTCTCCATTTTCTTTCTTTTACTATGCAGATAGTGACTTTATTCACGAAATCTCACACCATGGCTACTATATAAGGGCCTTTATTCTGTATTTTAGGCTATTTTATGTTTGCATACACTTTGTGCCATAATAGTACTATCTTTTTTCTCTTTTCTTCTCTCTTTCTTTGATCAATATTAACAGTTGGTAGCAGAGTGAGTTGGTGGTAATGGGTGATTATGGAAGTGGTTATAATCTTGTAGACTTCTTTGGAAAAAAAAAATGTAGACTTCTTTGACAATGATGATGGTTGGGTTAGTTGTGGTTATGGATGTTTAAATTTTTGATTGCCCGCAATTTTCTATCCTACCTGACTCTACCCTAACCTACTGAACTGCTAGCCGCAAAAATCAGGTAAGAATGCGGAAGAATTTTTGATCTTCTGATTAAATCGGGTAAAAATGCGGAATACGTATCAATTTACGTATTTTTACCCTACCCGCAAAAAATACATTTACTTTTTTTATATTTTTTTTTAGTAATTATAAGAGTATTTGTGTGGTATAATTTATATTATAACATTGTTATTGTTGTGGATGTTTGAGTTGTGAAAACATGGACTTATTTTTTGTGTAAGTTATATAATTTGTGGTGAACTGGTGATCTATTGGAGCAGTTATGATTTTAATGTGTTTCATATGGTTTNACATGGACTTATTTTTTGTGTAAGTTATATAATTTGTGGTGAACTGGTGATCTATTGGAGCAGTTATGATTTTAATGTGTTTCATATGGTTTAAACTTAAAATAATTGTTATTGTACTTGTTGTTGTAGTTGTTTTAGATTTTAGTGTTATTGATTTATTATGTTGTTAAATTGGTGCATGTTATTTAATTGAATTGTTAAAATAATCTAAAAATTAATAGTTACAAAAGTGTTTACCCGACTTCCTACCCGATTAATCGGGTAGAAAGTCGAGTAAGAATACCACACTTGATCGGATAGGTTAGGCTAAGAAAAATTTCTTCCGCAAAGTAATGGGTAGGAAGACTATATTTCCTACCCGTAAAGTCGGGTGAACACCCCTAATTGTGGTGGGATGATTGAAGAGGTGATGGTTGATTGTGGTGTTAGTGATGATGATGTCAATGGGGTGGTTAGGCGGTGGTGATGGGAATAAAGTAGTGGCAGTTTAGTGGTTGAGAGGAAGGACAAGTTTAGAAAAACAATAATTTTTGCATCTTATCTACTTCTACTGGTGAAACAGTGGGAGTTAATGCTGTACTTAAATTTCAGTGTATGCCAAACTGTTTTCATATTAAAAAATTTCACATTTCAGTTTTCACTACTTGATTTTCAATCTCATCAACCGCTAACTTAGTTGAACTCTAGAAACGGTCATCTTGACTTGTAGTCGGTGGTGTCTTTTCAGGGAGCATCTGATACCATGAACTTACCTGTGGCTTTTATCAGTTTCATCATGCTGCCAATTGCAGGGAATACCAAGGCTATTAGGTTTGCCATGGAAGACAAGCTTGTGAGTATCTGAAAATCCCAACGTTTTCCTACTTTTTTTTTTCAATTCAGTCGATTTAAATGTTCTCTTCTACAGGACTGCACACTTGGAGTAGCAATAGGTTCCTCGATTCGGATATCGATGTTTGTGGTAAGGCCTTAAAATTTGTTTTGATCTTCAATGCTTAAGGATTTGTGGTAACCATCGCCATCTTACTTTTGGGTGAAGGAAACATAATATTGCCACTTTCTTCCTTTTCTCATATCTTACAAGACTTGAGTGTTTGAAACTCGTGTTGTAGGTAGATGTTATGTTTCTGTATATGGTGGTCTTACCAATGTTGTGCTGTTGACAAATGCAGATTCCCATTTGTGTGATTGTTAGTTGGCTCATGGGATCACCAATGGATTTGAATTTTCAACTCTTTGAGACTGCTATGCTTTGTATCACAGTTCTAGTGGTGGCATTTATGCTGAAGGTTTTGTTCTCCCCCTTGATCACGTGCATGTGTATGTTTCAAGATAGTCATGGCTAGCTCTTTTAGACCATGTTAGATTTGTCATCTGTGTTGAGTATGAGAACATTTGATTAAGCCAAAGGATTAAAATTTCGTTTCGAAACGTTTCCATTTCTAAAGAGACCAAAACGAATCAGTGATGAAATCAAAATTCTAATACTTTGAGATGTTTCATAATATTTTGAGATATTTCGTAATGCTTCAATGCATTTGCACAATTGTTTCGGAATGTTTCAAGATATTTTGATCAATGTTTTGGAAAAATAATTCTTAAATTTTTTATTTTTTTTATTCTGTTTCCGAAATGAGTCAAAATATTTTCGAACATGTCAAAACATTTTAATTTTCCAAGTGACCGAAACAATACACCAAAATGAAATTTTGATTCATGATTTATGCTGTGATGTTCAAACTTCCATTGATGGATTTATGTAGAATGGGAGGATGCCACATCCAAGGCATGCCCGAGAGACCAGAAAAATAAGCAGCTTACTTTTCAGTCGTGCTAGTTTTTGGCCAATGATTTTCAAGAATTTTTACGCTAGGCCATCTAGCAGGATTTTCTCGGTGTTATTTGGCAGAAATTGTGGTGGTGACATCGTAACTTTTCCTAGTATGACTTAAAAAGGATTCCGCTGCCTTCCCAGGTTGACATGTCTAACCATTTTTTTCCAATTTTCCTCCGATTGATAAATATTGTATTTGATGTTGATGTGTCATAAGGTTGATATGTTTGGGTTTGTAGCATTTATTTTGACATGTTATCTAGCATGAGCTTTTTGTGGTAACTAGTTTCTTGGCTTGAATGAATTTTTTATGCCAAAAGTCAAATTGGTTGACTGCAATACAATATCTAGGATGAACATTTTAGACTCATTAGTTCACTAAAAGTTAAAGAAGGGCAGCCAGTGCACGAAACTATCGTCACTGGTTGGACTGGAGAGGGTCAAAGATGCTTATGCCCCATGCGGAAAGACTATTTCCGCGACTCAAATGCTTGACACCTAGGTCACAGGAGCAACCTTATCTCTGCACCAACCGCCAGTTCACAGAAAGTTCTAGATTGTAATTAACCCGTGCATACTGGCTGTTTGTCTTTGGCCCACTACATGGATGTGGACTTCCCAAATCCCTACTATTCGTGAGTAGGACCCAAAATCGTGTTTGCCCAAGTAATGCTGTATTGATTCTTTATTTCTACGAAAAAGTGGAGATGGTTGTTTCCGCCAGTAGTGTTTTACAGGAATCTGAGATTGTGTAATTTTGGAACCATTCTAGTGCATTCCACCTTCAGGGATACTTATCATGCATTGATGACCCCGGTCATATCAGCTGTGCATGATAACATCTGTACATCTGGAAACTGCAGGAGTATTAATAGACCCTTAAGCTATTTAAAAAATTTCTTCTGGTTATATTGCATATTGAGCATGTTTAAGTTGACTGAACTCTATGAGTGAGAAGGTTACTGTTCCATGTACGAAGTGAAAGGGACAGTTGGGTTCTGACTCTCTTGAGACTTGGTGAGTATTGGTTTCATGAATTCGATAAGAATTAGGCATGATTTACATCTATCTTGTACACCAGCAGAGCTAAACAGGGGCCAGGATAGGCCCTCACTCACCCTACTTGACTTACAGGAATCATATCTATTTTATTTTGTCCGTCCTATCACTTTATTGCTTCAATTGCTAGTCATTTTTTATTATGTTAGGGCTGGCTCCCTTCATTTGACCTTTATTTGCGTATTTATGAGTTTTTGGTTTTATCTTTTTAATTTGAGAGTGGAAGTGATCGCAATTGGCCTGAAATTGACATCTGATGTTTTGCGAGAGCTCCTCTGTAGTTTTCTTCAACTATTGAATGTTGTGTTTGTTATGTTTCAATTGATTTTGAGAAGTATTGCTATGCTTAATTCTTAAATTTTAGTTTATTGGCTTTGCTATTTTAGTAACTCAATGATACTGCTTGAAAGATGGTTTATTGAATAAATCAAGAAGTTGAAGATTATAAAAATTGATTGCGTAAACTAATGGATAGTCAATACACCATTTTTTTTTTGTACAAATCGTGGCAACTAGTATTTTTTTTTTTGTCTATATACACCTTTTTCGACCCTTTTATGTTTAATGAACTTTTTTGTGTCAAAATATGTTGTAATAAATACAAATGCATATTTTATTATCGTTGACTAGGAGGAAAAATTAGAGTAGGCAATTAAAGTGCCACCCACAAGAAAATTCTTGGTTCTGCCANTGTGTCAAAATATGTTGTAATAAATACAAATGCATATTTTATTTTCGTTGACTAGGAGAAAAAATTAGAGTAGGCAATTAAAGTGCCACCCACAAGAAAATTCTTGGTTCTGCCACCTGATCTTGCAGTATGTGAGTGTTTATTAAATTTCAGTGTCAACCAAACTCCTCCATTTTTCTTACCTTAGTTACTTTCTTTGTTTTTCTCTTTTTTCTTTCTGTTTCCAAGTTTTTGCCATTACAATCTCTTCTTCGTTAACTGTCATCACAATTTCTGGAGGCTTTCTGCATTCATACTGTAATGCTATTCCAAGCTGGAGAGCCTGGTGCTTAGCTGTGCAGCATACTAAAAAACTGTTTCCATGGTGTACCTGTAAAAATCTCTCCTTTAAGTTGATTGTGTTCTCAATGTATTGTAGGTAGAGCAGTGTCTATGTGGTCATACATCTACTATCATACATGAAATCTTGATAAAGGATGACTTCATAATTGTTGCTTTAATTGCTGCAGGAAGGGATATCAAACTATTTTATAGGTTTGATGCTTATTCTATGCTATCTCATGGTTGCTGCAAGTTTGTTTGTACATGTTGACCCTTCAAATGGTAAGTCTATCGAATATAGTTTTAGTGCATTGTAATGGATAAAACTTGACAATTGTTCACTATAGACCCTTCTGTCATCTTATTTAAATGATCTTGCACTAAAGTGGGCGGAATAACAAGGACATAATTTACTTAGAAGAAGAAAAGATTTTCTTCAGGAAGAAATTCTTTCTCTGTGAGCCTGTTTAAGCTTTAATGATAACCAATTGCGACAGCTGACAAAGCTTCCTCAATCACTTTTTGTCCAAGGGCAAATATAATTTGCATCATCAATTTCTATAGCACGTGAAAGATGGCAGCTGTTTTTGTTTGACAGCCTCTAGTAACTTAAGCTGCAAATGTCAAAAACTGTCTTAGGTTTACTGCCACAAATGACAAGGCAAGGCAATGTCATTTACATTCATAGAGTATTTTGTTGTCTGGATCACAAAGTTTTCCACTCCCTTGTAGAAACCATATTTTTTTCTTTTCTCTTCTCTTCGCTTAGGGTTCTCTCATACTGTGTTGATGCTACATGTAGCTGTCTGACATAACATATGTTGATCAGTGGCTTATTTCNAGAGTATTTTGTTGTCTGGATCACAAAGTTTTCCACTCCCTTGCAGAAACCATATTTTTTTCTTTTCTCTTCTCTTCGCTTAGGGTTCTCTCATACTATGTTGATGCTACATGTAGCTGTCTGACATAACATATGTTGATCAGTGGCTTATTTCTCCTTTTCAAATGTCATTTTTGTTGAAGACAAAACTGAGCTGAAGTGTATTCGGATCTGGATGGAACCAAATGGCACCAGTTGGTTTATGACAATTGTGCCTTGAACAAACCTTGTGAAAGGGTGTTCTATTTTCTTTGATTTTTGTGTCACTATTATTTTTTTCATCTATAACATCTATTGGTATGGAACTAGGACCAACACATATAGAGTTTGGCAACTAAATTCTGGGGTAAATTTTGTGGATGCTGGTACAGATGATTAAAAATCGAGGGACGAACATTGTCACGCGACAGCCAAATTGGAAACTAGTGACATTTAGTACATTTGAAGAAGTTGTTTCCTGGTTTGAACATTGGCACATATGATTGTTAAATATGGAGATGAAGATGGCCCCACAGCAGTCATCTCATCCGAAAGGTTTTTAACCTTTCAGCCATGTCATATCTGTTTCTTGGATCATGTTGTGGGAGATTACTGCATTATCCCAGCATNACTAGCAAAAGAATATTTTCATTCCTGAACTGAAACACACAGCAGTCATCTCATCCGAAAGGTTTTTAACCTTTCAGCCATGTCATATCTGTTTCTTGGATCATGTTGTGGGAGATTACTGCATTATCCCAGCATTATAAGAAGGCTGGAATTTTTTTGTTCTGTACTTACAGTCTTTCTCTGATGAGAATCTTATGTAAAATAACTCTTCATAATGTTGATGTTCTGTGAGGTTGAGATATTAGTCTTCCTTGTTTACTTATTCTGAATGGCCCGATGTTGTTGTGCTCACACGTTTCTGGACATGCAACTATGCCAAGCCCGATCTTGGTTCTCGGTAAAAACTAAGGCTGCGGAGACAGGTGCTGTTGATTGAACTTAACTACTTTAGGAATTCACCCAGCAGCCCTCAAAGGGACTAAGAAAGAGTGTCTGATTGACCATACTTTTCTTCAACACAGGAAGCATTGAATTGTATTAGTGGGATCTCTCTCCCACCCCCCCCCCCCCCCCCCCCCTCTTTTTTTTTCTTCCTTATAACACCCACACACAGACAACAGACCAAGAAATAAAAGGAAAAAAACAACTTTCTCTTAACTTTGAGAGAACTATCAGAAAATGTTTTACCAAGAATGTGTTTCTTGTTTGTTCTGTACCAGTTGGTAGTGGTCAAAAGAAGTCTTCCTGATCAATAGTTTCATAAACTGCCTTCACAATCTTGCAGGCGGAGCCTTCTCCAACTACAGGTTCCTTTTGCAATCCTGAACTTACAAAAGGCTCATCTACCACAAATTGTTCTAGTAGGAACACCTTTGATGAAAGAAAATCCAGCGGCTTTGAGTTTAAACTTCAAAGTGGATTTAATTCAGTTTCAGGGTTGTCTTCGGCAGGACCTGCGGTAATGCTCTTGAAGTTGTTTTTATGGACATGCTGGAAATCATAACTGAGAATGGCTATTTTTATCTTTATCAATTATCCACGTTTCCATTGATGAGTATAAGAATCATAGATTACTAGAAGACAGTTTCTTAACCATGTGATTTGTTTTTTCTCCCTTTTCCACATCCCTGCCTCCCGCCGTGAGAGTATTCTTATTTGCACATGCTTACACTAGGTGAATGATGCCAATGGCATTCACTACTGGAAAAATATAAGCATGAGATTTTCTCTGGTCAAACAAACTATAACATCAAATTAGTGATATTGTTCTGTTAAAAGAAAAAAATAGTAATATTGTTGTTGTTTGAGGAGCTGTTGTTATTATCAATGTTCCCCACCTGGTAATGTAGTCTCTCAATATATTCTGAGCTCACTGTCAATAGAAGGCAAATTATTGTGGTTTAAAACTATATTCATTTATTTTGTACAAAACACCTGTGCAAAAAACTTTTTTTTTTTNTTGGTTCTTTCGCATTTCGATTCAAAATCAAAAACATGAATCATATCCTATTCAATATTAGACTTTTAAACAGAATTTTGTTCAAAAAAATAATCTTTATTCTGATAGAATGGATATGCTCTGGGACGAAAGGATTCGAACCTCTAAATAGCAGGACCATAAATACTAAACCAACTATTAAGTACAAGGAGGAAAGTATTTGGGAACTTAGGCAAAAAACAATTTCGGGCTAAAAATTGGGGTGTTTTCAATGCATTAAATTTTATCTTAATCTCTAACTAATAAATTATTGACGATAAATCGTAGATGATTGTGTGTATAATGCATTCAAGTAAGTTCTACTTGTTATATGTTATTTTTCTAAATTTAAAAAGTAAAAATATATTTATAAGTGGTGACAGTAATGGTTGAAATAACTATGACGAAACTCTTCACACCCACTTTGTTTTATAGATTTCCCCGATCTGCTGACCAAAACTCTTTTGGACCAGTCAGATTTTTTCTGTAACAATGGGTTTTAAAAACAGGGCAACTAGCGGACTACAATGTACCAAACTTCATTTTAAATATTTATATGAAAAAGGCTTGCTCCAAGACGTGGCTTTCGAAGACTAGACATTTTAAAGTTATATGTAGCGTACAATATACATGTGAAAGAGTTGGATTCGGACCAATGATACTTTTTTTTAACAGAGATATCCTTTTCATATAATAAAGGTAACCATGAACCTTTTTTTATTTTTTATTATAGGATGAATAAGTTTATGCCGACTGTTTTTTTGAGTGTAGCAGTAAATCACCATAATTTGAGTTGTGTTAGATCATATACCTAAAAAAAAATAAAGGTGACTATCCCTGAGGGAGTATGAAAAAGTATTGAACTTAAGATTTTTGAATTACTCAAAGAGTAGTAAATGATAGATTAAGTGATAATAGGGATAAGTTGTAAACACAGACATCTTGAGTTCGAATCTTAACAATCCTTTAGGGCCAAATTATAAGGGATTTATCTCACACGAATATTTTAGTTTCAACGTGGATAGTTTGTCGTTGATCAGACCGGAGAAGAGATTAGTCGAAGTGAGTATAAACTAATTCAGACTTCCCTAACCATTAAACTACTAAACAACTCCTAAAGATTAGATAACCAAGAACTTGAACATTACTTAACTGAAAAGATTTCTACGGAGCCGGGACTTGTTATTTTAAGACATAGACTAATCCGATTCCTTGACAGAATTACCTAAAAGGCCTATCAATCTAAGACAGGCGGAAGCGGCCTTGTTGTAGGTTGGACGAGTGATTTGGTCAAGTTAATCTATAAATTGAATAATCAGACGATCTTCGATTAATTAGATCAAGAATCATTGAACATTGATAAGTGATACTTGAACACAGGCTTACTCAGCTCCTGGTTTTCTTTGTTTTTTTACCCAATAATTAAAGAATATAATGACTTTTTCTAGAGTATAAAATATTTTCTTGGTGGGTCAACTGGACACCATTATTATTCTCATATGTTGTGCAGATGTAGGGAAGACCAGAGAAAAGGCATGGGCTCTCCCATAGGACGTAAACGGACGACCCTCGATTATCGTTGAATAGAAAGGTTCTATCCATGTTATTATATCTATTTTTTTTTACTCAATCACAAAAATTAGAGATTTATATACCTTTAAAAAAAGCAAAGTAAAACCCCAAAACAACGACACAGATCTAATCTATTTTTATTTTTTTTACGGTTATGAGTATTCAAATCAGTTTATACGCACCTTGATTAATTCGCTCTTTGGTTAAGTCAAAGACAGACCATTCATGTCAAGAATAAAGTAATCATGGGAAATAAATCTCTCGTGACCTGACCGGCCCTAAGGAGTTACTAATATTTGAATACATGACGTTTGAATTTACAGTTCGTTTTTATTATCACTTAAGCTATTCTATTTCTAAGAAATGGGGAGACGAGAACAATTGAGGAACTAAGAGGATTGTGCATGTGCAAATCTAATTAGATGATTACAACTGCCTCTTACACTATACCCAAAAAACAGAGTAGACAAATCAAGTGGCACTATCTTACACTATACTTAATGAAAACAGACGTATCAGTGAACATCATCACTACTGTAGTAAATATTTACTTGTACTGTAGCGATGATGTCGTTACAACAGAAAGTCAAATCCTTGATGTGAATCTAACACCTTCAACCATTTGGTTAATGTACTTACAACAAAAAGTCAGTTCCTAATGTTTGCATCTAACTTGTTCAACCAATCAGTTAAACATTCCTTTTGTTTCATGACAGACAGGTGACCAACGAGTTATCTTCCAAACAATGACAAGATCAAACGAAGCTAAAATCATCCAACACAAACAATTCTTTGTAATTTGGATCTACTTGAAACTAATACCCAGGTCATGCCCATTATTATAATCCTGTACAAGGCAACTAGCTCAATGAGGAATCCATCAGAAGAGCCTCTCTCTCTCTCTCTCTCTCTCTCCACACGTTCATTTCACGCTTTCTTCCCATTTGATAATCATATATACAAATCAAACAGAGAAAGTCCACCAGCCAGCCGCTCCAAAAGTAAACGCCATTTAAGTATTCAGGCCTCAGCTTTTAATATTAATGCTCTATGTCAACATCAACCACTCTCTCTCTCTCTCTCTCTCTCTCTTTATGGGTAGACTACAATCTGCACAAACTTGGATGAAAAGAGAAGAACCCACATGATTGATTGTGAGTACCTGGGCATCATCAACTGTCTTCTTCTTCTTTTGTACTAATACTGATCACAGATAACAATCAGACCTGTTAGCAATCTGGGTGTGACACATCATTAGCTTAGAGCAGCCATGCTCTTGAGGCGACCCTCCCATTCTTCTTCACCTCAGCCCAACAGAATCAATCCCTTTGGCTCTCTCTTTTTGGATTTGTTCCTACTAATCCTATTTCTAATCCTATCTTTCTTCTCCAATCCTAGCCATGCCTCCTGTATCCCACTTGATCGTAACTCTCTGTTGTCCTTATCTTTCAACAATTCTACTTCCCCACCTTTAAATTGGCCTCCTTCAATTGATTGCTGCTTGTGGGAAGGAATCACTTGCGACGGGAACAATCGGGTGATACGACTATGGCTACCCTTCAGAGGACTTCGTGGAAGCATCCCTCCCTCTATTACAAACCTCACCAGTCTCTCTCAACTCAATCTCTCTCAAAATAGGCTCTATGGTCCACTCCCAGATGGATTTTTCACATCTTTGAATAGCCTTGAGATCATTGACTTGAGCTATAACAGCCTCTCTGGACCACTACCATCATCTGACAGATTGCCAAATACAATTCAGACAGTGGATTTATCCAGCAACCACTTCACTGGAACAATCCAATCTTCATTTCTCCAGCCAGCGGCGAATTTGTTAAGTTTCAATATCAGTAACAACAGCTTCACTGGCCTGATTCCTTCCTCTATTTGTAGCAATTCACCATCCCTTGGGCTTATTGATATCTCGTTTAATCACTTCATCGGTCACATTCCTCAAGGATTTGGGGCGTGTTCCCAACTGGAGGTCTTACGGGCAGGTTTCAATCTTCTCTCAGGACAGCTTCCCAATGATATCTACAACATTACAGCCCTGGAAGAACTCTTCTTACCTGCTAATGAGCTCAATGGAACCATTGACGAAGGGATTGTTAGGCTCGTTAACCTCAGAATCCTTTCACTCTACGGTAATGAATTTTCTGGCATGATCCCTCAGAATATTGGGAACCTATCTAACTTGGAACAGTTGCTCCTTCACATTAACAACCTGAATGGCACTCTGCCTCCATCTCTGATGAATTGCAGCAGTCTCATAACATTGATTTTAAGGGTCAACTTCTTCGTAGGTGAACTCTCGAGTCTTGATTTTTCCAAACTCGTCCAACTTAGCACCATTGACCTTGGGGACAACTACTTCTCTGGTACCTTGCCACCAAGCCTTTTCTCTTGCAAGTCATTGACTGCAATTCGATTGGCTAGTAACAAGCTAGAAGGAGAGGTCTTGCCTGAAATACTTGCATTACAATCTCTGTCCTTCCTCTCGATTTCTAATAACAGCCTGACCAATGTCACAGGAGCAATGTGGATTTTGATGGGTTGCAAGAACCTCAGTACCCTCGTTCTCTCAAAGAATTTTTTTGGTGAAGCAATACCAGATGATGGAAGCATAGTGGCTCCTGTAGGATTTCAAAATCTCCAAATTCTTGGTCTAGGTGGTTGCTTATTCACTGGTCAAATTCCCACTTGGCTCTCTAAGCTAAAGAAGCTAGAGGTACTTGACCTGTCTGTTAATCGATTAACAGGCTCAATTCCAGGTTGGTTCGGGACTCTTCTAAATCTCTTTTATTTAGACTTGTCATCAAACCTCCTTGAGGAAGAGTTTCCAAAGGAACTTATCGGACTGCCAAGACTGACATCGCAGCAGTATGCTGATCAGATAGGCCGAAGTTATTTGGAGTTGCCCGTCTTTGTTCAGCCCAACAACGCTTCAAATCTGCAATACAATCAGCTTGCCAACCTGCCACCGGCTATATACCTAGGAAACAACAGCCTTAGTGGCAATATCCCAATTGAGATCGGCCAACTGAAGTTTATTCATGTCCTAAGTCTTAGCATTAACAATTTTTCTGGCAGTATTCCTGAGACCATATCTAACCTCACTAACCTGGAACGACTGGACCTCTCTGGAAACCATCTTTCAGGTCAAATCCCTTCATCACTCCAAAATCTCCACTTTTTGTCCTTTTTTAGTGTCGCAAACAACAGTCTCCAGGGTCCAATACCAACAGGAGGGCAGTTTGACACCTTTCCCAAGTCCAGCTTCGAAGGAAACCCAGGGTTATGCGGTCCAATTCTGCAGCGCCCTTGTTCTGATCAACCAGCCACTAAGCAGCCTTCAGCACCTAGAAAAATCCCAAAAAAGAAAATAATGATCGGACTCATCCTCGGGATCTGTTTTGGCGTGGGCGTCACTCTCACGGTGTTAGCATTGTGGATATTGTCCAAGTGGAGAATCCTTCTGAAATGTAACCCTGACAAAATCGACTTGGATACTTTATCCTTCAACTCTAATTCTGGAATATCTAACGAGTTTGTCAGGGATACAAGTCTAGTCATATTGTTTTCAAACAATGTAAGCGATACCAAGGACCTCACAATATCTGAGATCTTGAAAGCGACTGATAATTTTAACCAAGCAAATATCATTGGTTGTGGGGGTTTTGGCTTGGTTTACAAAGCAACCTTAGCAAATGGGACCAAGTTGGCTGTAAAGAAACTTTCAGGAGATATGGGTCTGATGGAAAGAGAATTCAAAGCAGAGGTAGAGGCTCTATCCACAGCCCAACACGAAAATCTAGTTTCCCTGCAAGGTTACTGTGTGCATGATGGCTTTCGATTACTGATATATTCGTACATGGAGAATGGAAGCCTGGACTACTGGTTGCATGAGAAGACGGATGGAGCATCCCAACTTGATTGGCCAACTCGACTGAAGATTGCACAAGGGGCAAGCTGTGGCCTGGCTTACATGCACCAGATCTGCGAACCACATATTGTGCACCGTGACATAAAGTGCAGCAACATACTCCTTGATGAAGAGTTTGAAGCACATGTGGCAGATTTTGGGTTGTCCAGGTTGATTCTTCCATATCATACTCATGTCACCACTGAACTGGCCGGCACCCTCGGCTATATCCCTCCAGAGTACAGTCAAGCATGGATAGCCACTTTGAGAGGGGATGTGTACAGTTTTGGAGTTGTTATGCTTGAGCTTCTCACCGGGAAGAGACCCGTGGAGGTATTTAAGACAAAGATGTCAACAGGATTGGTTGTGTGGGTGCAGCAAATGAGAAGTGAAGGCAAACAAGATGAAGTATTTGATCCTCTCTTGAGAGGAAACGGCTTTGAAGAAGAGATGCTGCAGGTGCTTGACGTGGCCTGCATGTGCGTCAACCAGAACCCTTTCAAGAGACCAACAATTAAGGAAATAGTTGACTGGCTCAAGAATGTAGGGACCAACCGGCAGACAACAAAATAAGAGCAACTGTCGCGTACATACAAAACTCCGGGTTTGTTGTTGTTGCAGATTTCGATGCAATAGACAGATGTAACTACTTGGCTGTGCAGGTTATCTTTTTTGCTTCTTTTACACATATATGTTACCTAACTAGAATGCATGAATATGTAAAAGAGAAACATAATAAACAATATCAAGGCATACAACTCTATTAGCTAGTATAGTGCAACAAAGAAATATTCATTCGGTTTTCATAAAGCACTAACTTCTTTAACTCTAAATAGTCTATAACACAAAATGTCTGGTAATATGTAGTTAAATTGCAATTCAACTTTGCTCATGATAGCTATCACATTATATGTACACACACACACAGTGGGCAGATTTGCAGAAAAAGCAAAATCTTGTTAAAGAAAAAAAAAAATCACAACCTATACCTTTTTCATTGCCCTCAAAGGCATTTAAGGAAAGCATGAATGGAATTTATATGCATGAGCCCCGAAGGAGTACTTTTTAGACCACTTTAAAACACATATGTTCAGTTTTCTTGATCACTTTGTTTAATAAGCCATCAAAAGAGTAAGTGTAGAACCACATACTCAAATTCTCACCAGCCTTTTAAACTCTCAAGAAATCAGCAGATTCACCTTTGTATTCAGGGGAAGTTGCCATTTGGACAGTTCATCCTGTAAAATTTATCCCCTTTCACCTTTCCCAATTTTAATTTCTGTTAGCTCTTTTGGCCTACAACAAACCACCAGAAACATTATGAAGCCACTGATACATAAAAAGCAATTACACAATTAAATTTTGGTACCATCAGAAACAATAAATCTAGTGATCTGTTATCTAAATAAGTCTAAGCTGCGCATATCACATTTCACAATATGGGGTGTACTGTGGTCCCTTCCTGTCTCAAAACAGAACGATCCACATTTCATGTAACAATGGGCTTCTAGAGATAATGGTTACTGATTGTGAGTGAGAGAGAGTGTGGGTGTGTGGGAGCTAAAAGTTTCCAACAATTTTCAGGATAAGAGGCGACAGCGCGGAAACTCTCTTTTATGAATGCCGATCTTGTGCAATAAAAAACAAAAGCCCACAAAAAGCACTTGCTTCAAAAGATAAACAAAGGTGAATGCAGGAGTTATCGCTCGGGGCATACATTGCCATTGGCACCTTGGCTCAAAGAATTAATAAAAACATGTATCCGCGGTAGGTCTCCAATAAGCATATGACTAAAAAAGAGGGAAACAAACGATAATAACCAATGAAAGCGGAAAATCGGTGGAAATCACATAATTAAGAAATAAGGAATAACACCCCCTCGAGAATGTCCATCTCACTAAAATAAGAGAGCAATGTGAGGTGGCGCAGCATGCCTCCACTTCGTTCATGAGTTATGACAAGGAAACAAATTAAAATGGAAAAGAAAACTGGAAAGAAAGTAGAACAGGAAACTAGAGTAGAACAAGGTAACAAAAAGGAGTGGATTCAATCAGAGAATCATCTCTTTAACCTTAAGTCATGCAGAAAAAAGGGAGATATCACCAACTATTATACATGAGAGAGTCAAACTACACATCAAATGTTTTCATAACACGGTTCATAAAAGTCTATAGCATATGGAAAGGCTGCATGCAATGTAAACCTTGTTTCCTGCATGAAAACCTTGACAAAATTGATTCTTCACTGCTCATTTTGCATCATGGTAACTATGAATCTCCTTGAATTCAGAATGAAGTAGTGCATCAATGAGTTTGAAGTTGAGATAGAAAAATGGGGGCAGCATGAAAGAAAAATGCATTAAAGACACCCATAGTGAATGTCAGAAAAATGCCCCAGGCACACACTTAGGGCATCTTACTCTTCAAAACAAGACACAATTAATCTGTAGGCTTTTTCCTTTTACAGCNTATATCCCTCCAGAGTACAGTCAAGCATGGATAGCCACTTTGAGAGGGGATGTGTACAGTTTTGGAGTTGTTATGCTTGAGCTTCTCACCGGGAAGAGACCCGTGGAGGTATTTAAGACAAAGATGTCAACAGGATTGGTTGTGTGGGTGCAGCAAATGAGAAGTGAAGGCAAACAAGATGAAGTATTTGATCCTCTCTTGAGAGGAAACGGCTTTGAAGAAGAGATGCTGCAGGTGCTTGACGTGGCCTGCATGTGCGTCAACCAGAACCCTTTCAAGAGACCAACAATTAAGGAAATAGTTGACTGGCTCAAGAATGTAGGGACCAACCGGCAGACAACAAAATAAGAGCAACTGTCGTGTACATACAAAACTCCGGGTTTGTTGTTGTTGCAGATTTCGATGCAATAGACAGATGTAACTACTTGGCTGTGCAGGTTATCTTTTTTGCTTCTTTTACACATATATGTTACCTAACTAGAATGCATGAATATGTAAAAGAGAAACATAATAAACAATATCAAGGCATACAACTCTATTAGCTAGTATAGTGCAACAAAGAAATATTCATTCGGTTTTCATAAAGCACTAACTTCTTTAACTCTAAATAGTCTATAACACAAAATGTCTGGTAATATGTAGTTAAATTGCAATTCAACTTTGCTCATGATAGCTATACCTTTTTCATTGCCCTCAAAGGCATTTAAGGAACGCATGAATGGAATTTATATGCATGAGCCCCGAAGGAGTACTTTTTAGACCACTTTAAAACACATATGTTCAGTTTTCTTGATCACTTTGTTTAATAAGCCATCAAAAGAGTAAGTGTAGAACCACATACTCAAATTCTCACCAGCCTTTTAAACTCTCAAGAAATCAGCAGATTCACCTTTGTATTCAGGGGAAGTTGCCATTTGGACAGTTCATCCTGTAAAATTTATCCCCTTTCACCTTTCCCAATTTTAATTTCTGTTAGCTCTTTTGGCCTACAACAAACCACCAGAAACATTATGAAGCCACTGATACATAAAAAGCAATTACACAATTAAATTTTGGTACCATCAGAAACAATAAATCTAGTGATCTGTTATCTAAATAAGTCTAAGCTGCGCATATCACATTTCACAATATGGGGTGTACTGTGGTCCCTTCCTGTCTCAAAACAGAACGATCCACATTTCATGTAACAATGGGCTTCTAGAGATAATGGTTACTGATTGTGAGTGAGAGAGAGTGTGGGTGTGTGGGAGCTAAAAGTTTCCAACAATTTTCAGGATAAGAGGCGACAGCGCGGAAACTCTCTTTTATGAATGCCGATCTTGTGCAATAAAAAACAAAAGCCCACAAAAAGCACTTGCTTCAAAAGATAAACAAAGGTGAATGCAGGAGTTATCGCTCGGGGCATACATTGCCATTGGCACCTTGGCTCAAAGAATTAATAAAAACATGTATCCGCGGTAGGTCTCCAATAAGCATATGACTAAAAAAGAGGGAAACAAACGATAATAACCAATGAAAGCGGAAAATCGGTGGAAATCACATAATTAAGAAATAAGGAATAACACCCNAAACAAACGATAATAACCAATGAAAGCGGAAAATCGGTGGAAATCACATAATTAAGAAATAAGGAATAACACCCCCTCGAGAATGTCCATCTCACTAAAATAAGAGAGCAATGTGAGGTGGCGCAGCATGCCTCCACTTCGTTCATGAGTTATGACAAGGAAACAAATTAAAATGGAAAAGAAAACTGGAAAGAAAGTAGAACAGGAAACTAGAGTAGAACAAGGTAACAAAAAGGAGTGGATTCAATCAGAGAATCATCTCTTTAACCTTAAGTCATGCAGAAAAAAGGGAGATATCACCAACTATTATACATGAGAGAGTCAAACTACACATCAAATGTTTTCATAACACGGTTCATAAAAGTCTATAGCATATGGAAAGGCTGCATGCAATGTAAACCTTGTTTCCTGCATGAAAACCTTGACAAAATTGATTCTTCACTGCTCATTTTGCATCATGGTAACTATGAATCTCCTTGAATTCAGAATGAAGTAGTGCATCAATGAGTTTGAAGTTGAGATAGAAAAATGGGGGCAGCATGAAAGAAAAATGCATTAAAGACACCCATAGTGAATGTCAGAAAAATGCCCCAGGCACACACTTAGGGCATCTTACTCTTCAAAACAGGACACAATTAATCTGTAGGCTTTTTCCTTTTACAGCAAAAAATAAACAAAATACTGTGCTAATGTTACATGAGGATCTTACAAGTACATCCAGAAAATCAGTCAAATACGTTGACAGATGCTTGAAAATGAGTGGTAAATAATGGGCACTACTCTATCTAGGGCGGATTTTACATTAGATAATCCAGAATTTCTAGGTAAAAAAAAAAATTTATAAAAGAAAACAATTGCTTGCTAAAACAAAATTTAGGCACATGCAGCCCAATTGGTTTAGTTTTTCTCTTCACTTGAGCTTCCACAGTTATGGAACTTCCACAGTTATGGAACGCTCAGACCTATGGTTGGTAGTAACACAGTTTATTGACCAGTAAAACAAATTAACACCAAAAGCTTGGATGGGTATATTCGCTAATTACTGGTTTGCTTGGCGATAGGCTCTCAAAAGGAGACAAGTTGACACCTATTATCCATTATTATGAGTTCCATGCTTTGGTGCTCAATACCTGAGCCAACCGTCAGGACAAAACAAACTTTGGTGTCCAAATACAAATAAGCATAGGGAGAAGAACACTATCACAAATTTCCAACACAATCCTGAAGATAAATTGAAAGTAAGAGTTGCTTTGGGTGAGTAAAGTACAAGTTGAACAACAGACGCTGACCATCAATTCTCTAAACAAACCTAGCTTCTACAAGAGACTATGAAAAGTTGTAAGTTTGATGAGTTACATATAAGATAATAAACCAAAAGCTCCAATCATTGTCAAGAGTGTTAAGGAAATATAGGCATTAGTTCCTTAACCTTTTGTATTTCAAATAAACTAGTCTTTCAAATTCCATATGACTCACAAGTGTCCCTAGGCCACATATCAATATGATCTTGATTAGCAACCAAAATAAATGACCTTCCAAAAGCTTTAGTTAGAAACCACCGAGGCTCTGAAACAGGATTGCCGAGAGTAATGAATCCTAAATATGCATACACGTAATGCATAAGATTTAATGCTAGGTATGTTTATACTGATTGAGGACTTATTAATGATCCATTTGTTATGAAAGAAAAATGATGAAAAATGGGAGGGATGTACAAGACATCAAATTTGGTTAGAAAGGAAAAGTGGAAGGGTTAGAAGTGGAGGGATTAGTCTTCCTTCTAAAAATCTATCACCCAAATTTGACGAAAAAGTGAAAGGAAAGTTACTTTTGTGTGTTGAAATGTACCTTTATACACTTTCTCTTCTACTATCTCCCATCTATCTATTTTATTTAGTTATTCACTAGAGCAATTTTTAATCTTATAAAACCTTTTATGTGCTTCAGATTGATAAAAAAACGACCTTTTTGTACAATCTAGTGTATATTCATATTTCAATTAGAAGTTCTTAAATGGAGCTGCTTTATGTTTTGCATAGAAGATACTAGTATTGACCCCCTGCGCAGCCAACTGTAAAATTGAAAATTTTCAATCTAATGTAACTATTGAACGAAACACAAAAGCTAAGAGATGATGTCTTATAAGATGGATCCAAAAAAACGAATTGAAATAAAAAAGTGTGTCACAAACACACACAATGCATTTGTTCATTTTTGTTTGCTTTTAGTCTGACAATGTAATGTTATTTGTGTTTGTCATGGGTTTTTGTGACTTTAAAGAGAACACGCAGAGGGAGGGATAGAGAGGGAGAGGGAGAGAGACTAAATCACACCTGAAAGAGAGCCTCAGTAATGGTGTGGGAGTGATCTATAATAGACAAATGTTGAATGGTTTAAAAAAATTGAAGTTACTGGAAGTGAACGAACAATGAAAACAGAGTTGAATAGGACAATACGTTAACTGACGAAGACAGAGGTAGCCTGTGAACGGGAGAGGTGAACAATAAAGAGAGATAGAGAGAGAGAAGGGGGGGAGGCAAAGGGAGAAGGAGAGACCTATGCAGTTATTGAAGAATTTGAAAGGGATGAAGTAGGTAACTTGTTGGGTAGTTACTAGAAAAGTGAATAAGTGGGTTTGTTAATTTTGATTAATTAATTAAAAAAACATCCCCATGGCAGCAAATGGTTGGTTGAGTAATAATTAAATAAATAGAAAAAAAGAGAATTAATGAATGTAGGAGGGAAGCCATCAAATTTGTTCTCGGGTGGAAATTGTTTGTTTTATAGTATAGACTGTATAGTAAGATTACCCTATTCCAAATCAAGCGAGCAACCATTAGCCATTACTAAGAGACATCCCATTATATATTTAGTTATTTGAAGGTCTTAATATGTGCATATATTCTATTGATCTATTACGTATTATGGATATGTTAATTTTATGTGTGGAAAAAAAAAATGCATCCTTCAACTTTTCCATTCATTTGACCAAAGAAAAAAAAAAGTCCCTCCTACTTTTCATCTCTCCTACCAAACAAAAAGTATAGAAGGAAGATTTTTTTCCCCAATGAATAAACAGTGTATCTCTCATATTTTTCTTTCTTCAATTTTCACATCCATCCTACCAAACGAATCTATTTTTACATTCATCTTATCAAACGAACCATAAGGGAGGACAACTACCATATTATACTCTCTTTTTTGGGGTCTTTTTAGCAAATTTACAGGATATACAAATACAAGTGTGAAATCTCCATCTTACCAGATCCTGTTTCTGGAATCAAAATGAATGTCAAAAACAGAAGCTTTTCGAATAGTTTCTAGTGAATTAAATCCACGATGTGTTCAATCCAGAGCATATTGACCGGTGTTGCCCAAAAAAAAAAAAAATCAGAGAGATTGGTAAGTTCAATGCAATAACATAAGGAGGCTGCTTAATGGATTCAAACAATATACAAGTCCTGATGTCCCTGAAATTGTAATATCCAGGCATCTAAAAAGATCGTGGAGTGCGATTGACAGTTGTAAGACATACACAAACATGCTGTATACGAATACAAGTGAGTGTGTGTGAAAAAATGAGGGTTTGATAGTAAGGAAAGTCTGGTTATGGCATTTTCATGAACAGGTGGTAAAGATAATCAACATGAAACTTGAAGAACACATCAATAGCAATTTGATTTAAGTGTTTTTGTATGGCATGAATAGGATTCAAAATAATCGGAAAAATAGTTCAGAGATCAGACCTCCACCTAACCGGCGAGAGAAGCAGTGATTTCT